ATGGTAAAATTTCAAAAAGATCCATTCACTTAAACTAAAGTTAGAGTGCGAAAACCAATGTGTATTCGGACGACGACGCAGGACGACGACGACGACGCCGGAAGACGACGATGACGCCAACGTCATACCAATATACGACCACAAAAATTTTTTTGCGGTCGTATAAAAAATGACTATAAAGGGCAATAACTCCTAAAGGGGTCAATTGACAATTTTTGTCATGTAGACTTATTTGTAGATCTTACTTTGCTGTACATTATTGCTGTTTACAGTTTATCTCTATCTATAATAAATTCAAGATAATAACCAAAAGCTGCAAAATTTTCATAAAATTACCAATTCAGGGGCAGCAACCCAACAACATGTTGCCTGATTGGTCTGAAAATTTCAGGGCAGATAGATCTTGACCTAATGAACAATTTTATCCCGTCAGATTTGCTCTTAATGCTTTGGTTTCAGAGATATGAGCCAAAAACCGTATTTTACCCTATGTACTATTTTTTTAGCCATGTCGGCCATCTTGGTTCGCGAGCGGGGTCATCAGACACATTTTTTAAACTAAATACCCTAATGATGATTGTGGACAAGTTTGGTTAAATTTGTCTTAGTAGTTTCAGAGGAGAAGATTTTTGTAAAAGATTACAAAAATTTACGAAAAAATGGTTAAAAATTGACTATAAAGGGCAATAACTCCTTAAGGGGTCACCTGACCATTTTGGTCAAGTTGACTTATTTGTAGATCTTACTTTGCTAAACAATATTGCTGTTTACAGTTTATCTCTATCTATAATAAAATTCAAGATAATAACCAATAAAATGCTCCGCTGGGGCGCAGCTTGATACGACCGCAGAGGTCGAAACCCTGAACAGTTGGGGCAAGTATGGACACAACATTCAAGCTTGATATACAGCACTGAATTTGGATTGTAATTAAATATTTGACACAGCATAGGTTTCTGACACAGAATGAATGTGGTTTAAGAACTTAAAAAATTTTAATTTACCTATTCAAACCATATCATTATTATTTGCTTTTATATATAAATCAGAAATAACCAATTTAAAATGGAAAAAAATCCCCCCCCCCCCCAAATTTTTTGAATCCCCTTGTGATTAATCACCCCCAAACTCAACCCCAGCCTTCCCTTTGTGGTATGGTACCTTGCAGTACAATTTCAGAGAGATCCATACACTTGAACACAAGTTATTGTCTGGAAACTAGAAAAATGCTTGTTTTTTGGCCCCTTTTTGGCCATAAATTCCTAAACGTTTAGGGCAATTACCCCCAAACTCAAACCCAGCTTTCCCTTTGTGATATGGAACCTTGCAGTACAATTTCATAAAGATCCATACACTAACACACAAGTTATTGTCCTGAAACTAGAAAAATACGTTTTTTTTTTTTCCTTTATGGCCCCTTATTCCTCAAATTTTGAGGGAATTACCCCCAAAATCAATCCCAGCCTTTCCTTTGTGGTATGGTACCTTGCAGTACAATTTCAGAGAGATCCATACACTTGAACACAAGTTATTGTCTGGAAACTAGAAAAATGCTTATTTTTGGCCCCTTTTTGGCCCCTTATTCCTAAATGTTTTAGGCAATTACCCCCAAACTTAATTCCAGCTTTCCCTTTGTGATATGGAACCTTGTAGTACAATTTCATAAAGATCCATACACTTACACATAAGTTATTGTCATGAAACTAGAAAAATGCTTGTTTTTTGCCCCTTTTTGGCCCCTAATTCCTAAAATTTGTAGGCAATTACCCCCAAAGTCAATCCCAGCATTCCCTTTGTGATATGGAACCTTGTGGTACAATGTCAGAGAGATCCATACACTAACACACAAGTTATGTCTGGAAGTTACAAAAATGCATATTTTTGGCCCCTTTTTGGCCCCTAATTCCATAACTGTTGGTACCATAACCCCCAAAATCAATCCCCACCTTTCTTTTGTGGTATTGAACCTTATGGTAAAATTTCATAGAGATCCATTTACTTAAACTCAAGTTAGAGTGCGAAAACTAATGTGTCTTCGGACGACGACGACACCAATGTCATACCAATTTACGACCAAAAAATTTTTTTTGCGGTCGTATAAAAACGGCAAAATTTCCTTAAAATTACCAATTTAGGGGCAGCAACCCAACCCAACAGGTTGTCCCATTTATCTGAAAATTTCAGGACAGATAGATCTTGACCTGATAACAATTTTACTCCCAGTCAGATTTGCTCTAAATGCTTTGGGCCAGGTGAGCTAAAAATGTAGACTACTTAGACCACTCAGCCACCTAGGACCTCAAAAACCCTCATATAACAATAAAAACAAAGTATATAGACAGATAGAGAATTCTTATCTTATTTTTCACTGACATATATAAAGTCTCCATAATCTTATTTTTTTATTTTTGAATGAGAAAATGTGTAAGCACTGTCATATTTTGTTGCAAACATAGCTTGAGTTATCCTCCTTGTTAAAATATTTGTGTAACTATCTGTTACATGGATGGTTTTATTACTAGGATTGGGACTGCTTCATTTCTTTGTTTTTCAAGATAATATTTCTGTTTTGTGGATTAAGCTATAGGTAATCTCAAAGTTTGTCAGGGAAAAAAATATATTTCCAGTTTATATCCTAGGGGACAGAGGACAGAGTTCTAGGCACATTTTCCTCCTCCCTTTGTCATTTTCCGCTTCCCTTTTAATAACATGCACTCCACCTCCTTTCCCAATTCTTTCTTTATACTACACATTAATTTTTAAAGGAAAATTATTCTTATCTTAATTCTATATAATTTTTATACTTTCCAGTATGCACATGTTTTTCTTGATGTATTCAAAATGTGAAAATAACATTATCTACATTTGGCTACTGTTGAGTGCTTTTTATCTTTAAGGTGTCCACAATTTCACAACTTTAGCTGGTTAAATTACTCTGAAATTGTTGATGCTTGATAAACATAAGTACATTGTATATTGAATTAAATTTAGTTTTGACAAGGTTGACCACTTTTAAATTTATATTTCCTTAAACTTGAAATAAACAGAATTTTAACTGAAACCAAAAAGAAAACTTTAATTATACACACTAGATATTACAGACTTTTGAACCCCAGGCTGTCATTTTAAAGTGAAGCTTATTACTAAGGAATGAAGAATTTCAAATAGGTAGATGTTGTACATCTCTTTGTGACAAATTTACCAAAAATAGACTTCCAATTGCAATTTACCCCAAAAAAGGGTTATCAATCTTGCAAATCAAATTTACTAATCTTAATACTATTCAGGGGCTGATCCAGCCATTTTAAAAAGGGGGGTTCCAACTATATGTCCCCATTCAAATGCATTGATCGTCCAAAAAAAAAGGGGGGGGGGGGTTCCAACCCCAAGAACCCACTCTCTGGATCCGCCACTGCTATTCCAGTATAAATCCATCAATCAAATATATCTTTTGAAACTAAGGTCCAAAAATTAGACTAACATCAATAACAAACCTATAAGCAAAACACAAACAATGGGATATGAAGGTTGATCCAAATGTGAAAAACTTTAATAAGACTTAATCAATACATGTAGTTCATTTTCCAATCACAGACTTTGCTACAATTAGAGAATTTTATGCAAAGGGAACAGTCAACATTTATCTGCACTGCCTAACAGAAGTTCCCCTGGAAACTTTGTTACAAACAATGCCATGATATCTGTTCCTGTGGAAATAATATTACAGAATAATTCTTCAAATTGGAACTTATATTTTATAGGAACTTGTGACAGAACAACACGAGTGAAGTTTAAACTGTATCCCTGCTGACACAAAACATAAGTTATGAAAATATTTTAAAATTGGAAACTGAGTTGCTCTAATTGGCAATTCAACTATTGACAGTGATTGATACAAAAACTTTCAATTGGTAATTTAATTGGATTTTTGTTTATATAAAATAAAATCTTTACTTTTTAGATAATAAACAGTGATAAACAATGTTAGAAGCAAGAACTATTTAGTGGTAAATGTAAAATATGTATGTAAATCAAATTTCATTTATATTTTCATGTTTTAAAACTGAGTCAAAAACTTTGGCCAAGGTGTTCTGTTAAACAAATTATTGATCTTTTTATTCATTCCAATAAGTAAACTTTTGCTCAGTGACAACTATATAACATGTATAATAAGAACAAAAACATAAACTTTATTCTTTAATGTACAATGAATTTGATTTCAAATTGAAGCATCGATCTGAGACTACAATAAAACAGAGAAAAATTTAAACCTTTTAAAAAAAGTGGGGATGTGCAACATAGGGGTAAAAAAGGGGGGTCTGGGAATAAGGACAAAAATGGGAAATTGGTAAAAATTACAAAAAAGTGGAATTTCGGAAATGACCATCCCATTGTCACCCCATCTGGCACTAAAAGGTAGTATTTGAAGAACCATTTGTACATAGTTCTTAACCTGACATTTTTTTAAGTAACTTTTATTGAATAACTTTATTTCCTTTAATAAGTCATTATTATCAATATGAATATCAGTGTGTCAAATCTGGACCCTCATGTATTAAGACTTATTTTCAATGCATTTGATTGGCCAAGAAATATGTGCTTTAACAGAGGAAAGTATACATTATAACGTCCCTTAATGATCCTCTTCAATAGTACGCGCAAGCGTGGATCGAATTTACCTTCACGTAGCAAAAATAGATTATTGACGGAAATGAAACGAGCCTTCAAATTTCTCGTAAACATTAGCATTTCTTAAAATTGTAATCGTTAAATCTGACGAAATTTGCATATAATATGAAATCGGCATGATTAGTTTGTTGCTATCAATACGCGGAAAATTAAATAAATCGAGAAACGAGTGTCAACATTAACCTGTTCGGGATTCGGTGAGGTGAAGCGGTATCGGTTGCACATAATACAAGGAGTTATGTTAATATTTGACGAATATTGTCGGTGAATTAACGATTAAAACATCAATATTATTTGTTTCAAGAACTTACGTCTTCAATATGGTAACTGTTATCTTAAAAATCCGTGTTATCATCGGCTTTACGGTCCTTGTCGGCAGAACATGGCGATCTGTAAACGTTAACGGGAAGTAAAAATAACCTATGAGGCGCTTACAGGGTAAACATTAATGTCGAATGTACGGCCGTCACAGATATTATAGTGATTTGAACGATTAGTGCTTGTCTGAAAGTCTTTAATTCCTGGTGAATAACTAAAGATCGTGGACCCGATGGAGAAAAGGGGGAGGTAACCACTAAACAGCACAACGACCACTGTGATATAGCTTCATTATAATAATAATATTAATAAATAAGCTTTATTTAGAGTCGGCATAGTATACAAACAAGGACATAACATAAGATCACATAAGCTCTAATGAGATTTTAACCGACATACAAAACATAAAAGTCCAACACATAATACACGTGACATAATACACATGGAATAAATTACACACCACAAAATGAAGCGTGGTGGTAATAAGCAGAATATAAGCATGACAAGCTAGGTATTAAAGCTAAAAGCATACGACTACAGGTATTAAAGCTACAAGCATATAAAATGTAAACTAAGCACGATTAGAACATGTAGAAAGCTGGTAAAATGCATAGCATAAAATATTAAAAATGGATAGGATATGATCTAAATGGTAAAATTTTAACATTATATAATATTTTTTAAAATAATCTGCACAAACTGTGCACTTACAGTCATTTCCATTCCATGACTTTAAATTAATTTTAAACTGACTGAAATTAGCAATTTTCCTAAACATTCCATAAAACAGCAGCTGTATATTTAAAAGAGTTCTTACCATAGGTTGATGTTCGAACCCTAGGTATATCTACAATATTAGAATATCTAAAATGATATTTACAATCTTTCAATACAACTAAATCGTGTAAACATGGTGGTGACAAATTTATGTAAAATTTTAAAACATTCAATATTGAAAAATACTGAAAATTACGCATACGTCTAATTTTCAGTAATGGAACCTTTGCTCGTATAAGTAATTCATCATATGAACTAGCATAGTCTTCATATATAAATCGTAAAGCCCTTTCCTGAATTTTTTCTAATTTAGTGGTATTATTTTTGTTGCAAAAATGCCAAGCCAAAGGACAAAAATCAAAATGAGATAAAATGAATGTGTCAATTTATTAAATTTAGTAAGATAGCAGCCAATGCGCTTTAAAACATTCAGTTGTTGAGATGCTTTACGACAAATATTTTTAATGTGGTGATTAAAAGTAAGTGTATCATTAGTCAATATCAATACCTAAAAGTTTGACAATCTCAACACATGATATTTTTGCTGACTGTATATTAAAAACAGGCTTCTTTGCAAATGTTTTATTTCCAACTGCAATAGCTTGGAATTTATAAGGATTTGCCTGCATACAATTAAATCTAAATCAATCAATTAAAACAGCGCTTTCTCTTTCAAGTGTACATAATAAATTTTCAAAATTGTGTCAGTATATGACAGAGTATTATCGTCAGCAAAATTATACAGGGTACCTGTTCAACAAAATAGAATATATCATTTATAAAAATATTAAATAATAGAGGTCCAAGGATTGAGACTTGGGGTACCCCTTTCTGGATGTCAGCCCAACTGCAGAGTACTCCCTGAAGTTTGATTTGTTGTCTACGATCTGTAAGATAATTTTGAAGTAATTTCACTGATTTTGAAGAAAGACCGTAGGCAGATAATTTACTTAAAATAATATCATGTGGTAGACAGTCAAAAGTTTTCGAAAGATCCATAAGTATTGCTGCCACATACATTGTATTAAAATGACTACTATAGTAGACTAGTATAACAACTTAATTGGTTCCTTTGTGTAAATATATAGTTATTAAATTAAAAAAAAAAACAGAGGCGAAGTGAAGGGTCACGTGTGAAGGAAGGGGGAGTCCGAAAGTGAAAAGGCAAACAAAAACAAAAAAAGACAAAAAAAAAAAATTTTCATTTACTAGTATTATTTGCAATGTTTTCTCTCTCTCAACATGCCGCTTACGAATACATTGGAGGTAGGGGAAATTTCCGGGGCAAGCCCATACGCCAACTCAAGCCGAATTAAACACTACAGTATACAAAATACAATTGCAACTAATTGATACATTTGTGTAAGTATTGGTGAAAACAAAATTTCGGTTATAAAAATTATCTTTCTTTTGAAAATAATTTTGATTTTTTTCTAAAATGATCCATTTGTAAATTTCGTATGGATCTGCTAATAATTATTAGCTTAATATGTACATGTCGAGGTTGATCGTTTTCTCAACCTATACCAAGAAATAAAAAAAATTGTAAAAATATGATCATCTTAGAGTAGCTGTGAAGAAGATGAGGAATTATTCCGACTTCATTTAAAATTTGAATCTTGGGGAATTGTACTCTTTTTTGAGTGTCTTGATTGGGGTCCTGCATTTCTTGGTCTTTATATTTTTATGCAAACTTTTTTTATTCATTATTTATTATGGCCATGATATTCTCTATTCTTTATATTTTTAAAAGCACCACATTATTCTCTAATCTTAATTAATCCTTTTTTGCCTATTTTTTTCGATTCAATTCATTTCCCCCCTTTATTCTATACAATTTGCTCATTATTCTATGTTCTGTAAACCCCAATCTAATTAAAATATAGATCTCGGATTTCGTTATACTACGTTATACCTCGTATGTAGTATAACGTAGTATAACGAAATCCGAGATCTATATTTTAATTAGATTGTGTAAACCCCGTCCAGACCCTCTTTTATTTTGTATGCAAAAAAAAAATATTTGTTTTCTTCAAATAATGAGCAAAACAGTTACATTTTGTACATATTTATTCGGCAAAGAAGACATTTGGGCCAGTCTAAAATGCATTGAGTCACTGAGGAAAATCCACTTGAGATAATGGATTAATTGTTTTTCTTATACTGACGGTTTGCCTGAAAAACTGTTATACAGCCTTCATTGGCGGATGGAGAGACTTTAAAAAAAAGGGGTGGATTTCTCAGAACGTGGTCCGCAAACGAGTGTTTATGTCTGTGTAGTAGTTATTGTAACTATATAGATACAAGAAGATGTGGTATGAGTGCCAATATTAATGAGACAACTCTCCATCCAAGTCACAATTTATAAAAGTAAACCATTATAGGTCAAAGTACGGTCATCAACACGGAGCCTTGGCTCACACCGCACAGCAAGCTATGTATTTATGTTACATGTATCTATTATACTAATCGATATTCTTTCCCCCTATATGCATCATAATCTTAATCATGCTCCTTATGGGTACTTGGTAGATCATTTTCAAATAGATGCAATATATAGTTGTTTTATTTGTTGTAGATGCAATTATATATCTGTATTTGGATCACGAGCCTCTATCGTGCTCTTTCACATGGAATATTGAATTGAATTGAATAAATATGAAAATTAAAAATGGGGTGCATGCCGAATATCCAGTGAACTTTTTTTTTTAATTTTGACAGAAAACACATCGCTCGTTGCCGTTAAATCTTAATTTATTGTATGAGGTCCATGATTGCTCCATGGTAATTTTCGGAGACAATTTGTCCTTTTATGTATTAGGCTTTTCTGGCAAGCACGTGAAAACCGTTAGTTTTTTTTTCTCGTTTGAATTATTCTATATTTGTCATTTTGGGGCCCTTTATAGCTTGCTGTGCAGTATGAGTTTGGTCAATGATGAAGGCCGTACAGTGACTTAGTTGCTTACTTCTAGAGTTGTCTCTTTGGCAGTCATACCTCATCTTCTTAATTTCATGCAGGTTATTCCAGTCGACTAGACTGAGGCCGCTTTTATTTATCTATATTGTTAGTAAAACAGGTGGAGGGGGGTAAATATATAATTCAGTACCATGACTTTTGAAAGCGATGATAACAGAGGAAAGTGATTACATTGTGGAGTACGGGGTGGTCACTGTGAAGACTTTCACTCCGTCTTTCTTAATTCGATTCATGATGTTTTATTGACCATTGGAATTTTCTTATTCTTTTCTTATCAGAAATTCATCCAAACATTGATTTAGCGATATTTATCTCCGAAGAAGATCAAATGACAAATTGAGTAATGACTTGTCCGTTGAATGGATAGCCACTGTTTTCATAGGTTACATCATTGCTTTAGATTTTTTTTCATTAGTTTTTTTTTATATTGAGCCTTCCTATGCATATCTTTTCGTCACTGTCTTTTCATCTTTTATATCACTTATTGATTTTGAGGATATATCAATATCCAATCTTGGAAAAGGCGCCGATCTTCGGGAAATAACGCCTGTATGCACAGTCGCTTTGTGCATGGTGCCACCTTTGCAAAGACTATCATATATAAGCTTCACAGGCATTTGTCTCGGAAAACAAGTTCCTATATACTTTAATATAATTATGTTATATTAAAGAATATAATGTTAAGTTGTGTTTTTTTTTCAGAGAAAAGTGTCTGAGATAAGCTTCTGTATTAAAAATCCATAACTTGTGAATAAGAGGATAGAAGATATACACACATATGTATAGACTACTTCCATTGTAAGAATAGATGTGTTTGTATTAGCAAGAACACGTTTAGAAAAGAAATGTGATAATGATAAAGTTTTATATAAAATATCTATAATACAGAAAACAATATAAAGGGGAATTGAGGATAACTTATCGATTTCATTGTCCTCGCAGTAAAGCACTTAGTCCGTGCTTGATTGATATAAGGTAAATTACTGGGGAACACGTGTATTTATAATAAAATTTGTTTACGTTAAGCACGTGTGTTTAAATCAAAACATGTTTATGTTTAATTTGATTGAACAAACAGTAAATTTATTACCAGTTTAGGTAATATTAATCATGATAATTTCATGCTAGAATTTAAGAGCTAGATTATACTTATTGTATCATTGTCTAGAATTGTCATTCGAGGTTCGCCTTTCCGACAGTACAGTAACGTTTCTCACCCACCCACCCCTTACTTCAGAGGAAAGTACATATATATGTTATATAGTAAATAGTAAAGATTTTGTTCTTCAGCTTATAGAATACTTTTGTATTGTAAGTTGTGTTTATA